ACACACAACAACATCATACGTGTTAGTAATTGAGTTATTTAAAGTGTTGTTAGAATGATGACTAGATGATATATCATTAATTCCGACAAGTCAGTAAAAGAAAACCAACTGGTACTGATTTTTAAAAAAATATCTTTCCTCTTATAATTCTACATATTGAATTCTGCGCGTGATTTAAGCTCCCTCCGCCTCTGCGCACAATTACGTGATCGTCTTGTGACAACTCAAATGTGTGTTTGTTTGAAATCATACACTTTGTATGTTAGTTTTTCTCCAATTATCAACAAAAAAACATGAATATTTTTTTGGTTCTAATCTTTTCAAACCTTATTAATCCTGATTTTAAATCGTTCAGAAGCGTACAAAGTTTATGTTATGAAATGGTTGGTAAGCAATATGAAGTAGAAAAGAATTGTTTGATAGTAGTATAGTACAGTTTCTTGTAAATTATCAATATTGAAGTGTTAAATTTCTTGAGTAAATCCAGTTACTAGTGAAAACAACGTTTTACACAAGATTATTTTTATTGGTTTTAAAGAATTATTTTTTTTATAAAAAAAATACTTGAATTGCACGCTGGATTGTTAAAAGAGAGTAGTAGATTTCTGATACATTAACTTGAATCGTAATTGTTGGATTATTATACATTAAATGTCTATTTTATCAAGTTTCGTTTTTAGGCATTTTAATTAATATTCATTTTAGGGGTTGTGGAGATTGTTAAGTTTCTGATTGAGATCATGAACCGATTGATGTTAGACCACAATTGAAAACTTGGAAGCACTGGACGGCCAAGTCCCACAACAAGACGAAACGGCCGTCCAGTGCTTCCAGGTTTTCAATTGTGGTCTAACATCAATCGGTTCATGATCTTTTAAAAGAATTTTATTTCAAGAAAATGTTTCTTATTTGTTGAATAATAATTATTATTTGTTGATATTGTGTTCCAAATCGTATGGATAGCAATCTCCTTTCTCTCTCTCTGTTCGGTTTTCAAATATAGACTTTAGCATTAATAGTAGATCAGGATAAATTGTCGAAGTATCAGTCGTATTGAACTCAGTCAGATGGTGTGTACTAATGAAATCAATTTGGAGTTCATTATCTTCTAAACTAATAATAACTAGACAACTACTAAATGAATTAGTAGTGCTTAAGATTTTAAACAACTTGAAATAATTAAGCAAGATACATGGACTTTTAAAGGTTTATATGCTCATCAGGAGGTTAATGGGCATTTTTACAAAATGGTGGACGTAGTAGATAATCTAAAATTCCCAAACCATAATTAGCCTTTATTAACACACTTATCCATTCTAACTGAGAAAAAGCCCATTCAAAAAGTTCTTTTTAAATTAAACTTTTCAATTAAAATTACCATAAATCATTCCTTAACTTGTGTGTCTTTAACAAAAGTACAGTGATTTAAATAAAGCGACTCTTCTTGATTTCAGTGATTTCCCGTTTGATCTTTGTTTGCAATGAAAAGTGATTTGAAGGGGGTGGTTACGAAACGGCCATAAAAAATTCATTAAAATATGTATTGGACAATAACAAGTACCATTTATCATGTATTCTCATGCTATTGTCCAGATCAAAACAGCTTCCTCATTTTTACTTCATGCATTATATCCTAATGTTAAAAACGTTTTATTACGTGGTTCACGATATGTGAATAATATTGTCCGACCGGCCATTTTTTTAAAAAAAAACCCCACCCCATAAAAAAAATTTTCCACCAAAATTACAATTTTCATCCCGTGTTCGTCCAATGAAATGGCTAGTTTCAAAAATTAGATTTAATTGGTTAGTTATGTCTTGAAAATTGTTATAAATTATCAGTACTTGTCGACGAAGCACAATCTCAATCGTCATTATGGAGCAGAGTAACGTGCCGAGTACATCCTTCATCTATTCACCCAATAATATATCGGAGACGATTTGTCTCGATTTAGGTTAAGGCCAACTGGTTTAAGCTTGAGTCCAGAAATGAGTGAATCTTAATCGATACTAACAGCCTAGGGCAGAGAGACGAAAACTATCCTGTCACTTGATTGGTTTACAAGTCAGAGAGAGACGATGAGTCAACTGGAACACTACCGGATTTCTTCCTGATTTCCCATTCAAATTAGTGTTAAAGGATACATGAATAAGTAGATGACTAACACGACCACAACGCACAAACGACTAGAAAAATAAAGTACATAAGGTCATGTTTAAATCACAGTAGCTTTGGAATAGAAAAGGGTATGGCAGTGAATCATGCATCAAACGAAAGCTTATGGTTTATAGAACAACTTATGACAAAAATAAATGTTAGTATTCTACAAACTTTAGATTAAGAAAAATAGTGTTCCCGAAAATAGCTTCCGTTATTTGTCATGGCTTCCTTATTTCTCTGTTCACATCACGATGATTAACAGGAAGTCTTGTATCTAGGTTTTGCGCTAGTCGACACAACTTGGCAAGGTTTATCCCTAGGGTTCGGACCCAGTATCATAATCAGAGATTTTAACACTGAACTAGTCAAAATTGACTGTTCTCCTGTTGGATTCATGTTTTCTCATAAATTGATTACTACTAGTTGGTAACCGTTACTTTGTCGGGTTCTTATTGTTGATTATCAAAGTACAGACTATTTTATGTGAAACTTTATTTAACTCATATGCCTATGAATTACATGTTTCTTTTATGAAATAAATGAAGTTCGACTGTGCGATTATCATTTACTTTACAAATGAATCTATATTCATAAGCTCTATGCATCATAGTATTTCCTCTATCTCTCATGGACTTCCAATCGTAATAGTAGGAAACTGAACAAGTGGTCACAATTCTTGTTCTAACTTCCGATTCATACATGACTCATGCATATATAAATGTATAAATGAGTTACATAATCATAGTAAACATCCAATATTTTCAGTCTAAAAACTGAGTACCATTTTAATTAGCTGACTGGTATTTATTGTGAACACATAAACACTATGACAATAATTAATGAATGAAAATAAAGTTTTTAATTAGGATTATATAAATAAACAATAAAATAATCGTTCGATAAATCAATATTATGAGTATGTTTACACAGAAACATTCTGAATAATATTTTAATAGATATATATTGGTGAAAAATACAGCGTTTGGATATGTACATTCAGTAAATACTGCAACAGTTACTTATTGCAAGTTTAATTCCTATTCCATGTATTTTGGCTTAGGCAACCAATTAATAAGTATCACTAGATCTCAGAAAAGTAGTGACTTTCATAGTTGACGACTGAGTAAACATGTACCAGGTAAATTAGTTATATTATTATAATATTATCAAGCCCACAGATTGTAGTTTGATGCTAAAAACTATCTTATAAAAGGTAGCTAGTTAACTTATTGTTTATGTTAGAACTAGGAGTTTGTCGAAATTGTAGAGCATTATGGTTTACATTACAGACTGTTCTTTGCTAGATAACCATTTAAAAATAGAAAGCTCTGGACATCTGTTTCGTCTTAATATAGGGCTCAAACCGAACCCGCGACTAATGGAGTCCACCAATGTCATTTTTTAATGGCTATACAATATTATTTTAGTTAAGTTAGAGGTGTACAGTATTGATTGCTAACTCAGCGGTCTGAAAGTTAAGAGCTCTTTATGTGGTCTGAATGCCGTAGATTTGATCTCCTCCGGCGTCATGGGTGCGCGCTGGCATGAAGTTTCATGCTAGGTCGAAACAGCTGTTCAATAATTTCATCAGATTTCTTCTGGGTGTCTAATTAGTATCAATACATGATGAAAATCATAGAAAAGATATTCCTTATATTTTTGGTAAAAACTCAGTCTCATTGAAGTCTTAATACCATAGAAAACGGATTTGTAATAAAATATCTGGTTCCCCTTTCTACGTTGTGTTTTCTTTTTAAATACTATGAAGAGTATAATATAGACTCTAATGTTCCGCAATGAAACTGTGTTAAAAGGGTACATTTCTGAAAATTACATGAAATAGTCTGTATTCAACCAGCTAGCACTGTTGAACTCAATCTACAAGATGCTAGAATTTTCTTTTATAATTTTCACCTAAATGTTTGTAGTTCATTTCATGAACTGACCTCAGACAACCACTAATACCAGGAAGCACCAAAAACGGGTGATTCATCTCAGTATAGAACTCCTTGATATTGTGCATCTAAGATCCCACGATGAAATAAACTTATGATTTCGGGTCTTTTCGAGGATTATTTAACATTCAGATCATTGAGTTCGTAATTCATAAGTGAATGATGTAATTTAACAGTTTTCACAAACTTTACTAAGATTCCTTACTTTTTCTACTGTATCAGTGTCTTGTAATTCATCTTCTTTCCAATTCATTTTTGTCAGTTTAAATAAATTGCACTAGTTGAAGGATTACTCGACAGGAAATAATGTATCGGATTGATATGTACTTCACATGAAAAATTAGAATCTTTCCTCTTTCATTCTATATGGTTGGATGTTTTAAACAACACTTAACTAATCTATTTTTGTATCACTGATAAACATAATGGTGAAATTACATGAAGTCAATGATTGACAAATAAAAAATAACACTATGTATTTCTGCTTACTATAGTTAAATACCTCAATGAACATAGAATTACATTCTAGAAATAATCCATTACGTCTTTCAAATAATCTGTCTGAATCTTAATGATACAATTGTGTATTTCTCAAGATTGATCTCTTATTCTTTTCCCTATAATGTCAATTTGATGCCAGACTGAATCAATCCTACATAATTTTACAGTGTGATAACCACACACTGGATATATAAAGTTAGTCTTCATACTACAAATCCATGTTTTGCATCCTAATGTACAAGGATGGTTACATATTTAACGAAACGACATTCATATCTTGTTGACATGAAATTCTGATCCTTTAAGGAATGTTTTGGAATGCGTATATTACTAACTATTTATTAGTAGTTGATTGCTTTTTATAAACATGTTTTGGATTTTAGTAAGAAAAGGTCAAATGTGGTTACCAGGTGCAATCACATCTGCATTTGTAGCTTTTCTAACATGGTCAGCTTTAGGCAGTCAACCAAGAAGTGAGTTAAACTAAATCCAAGAATTTCATATTTTCATGTTTTGTTTTTGTGTGGGCCAGTTTTCATTATGAATTGAGATCTTTTAAATAAATACCTCTTGAATTTCAGTAATTGTCAGCCGTTATTTAGTTGTATTATCAGAACCAGATAGTTAAGTAGATTTTTGGTTGATCCCAAACGTTTTACGTTCTACCGATCAGCATATTCACAAAATTCGCCACGAGATCTGATGGTCCTGGATTCAATTTTCAGTTAAACCGTTGGTAGACACTGCTGGAGAGAAGCATACTAAAACAAAACAACTGTCCATTTCTTCCCAACTCTCAGTGATTTTTTGTCGAACTTCAATTCGTTATACAAAACTTCAATCTCAATACTTTGCAGAACATACTATAATAGCCATCCTATTGTTTGAATTTTCAAATTACATCATATTTTGCTGCTATTGTTTTGTTAATATTAAATTGTTGACCTTATAAATTCACATGTTTCACCATGTATTTCTCGAGGAGGCAGTCACTGAGTTTAACTGGTTCTGTGGGAATGTTGTCTTATGTTTCATATGGTTGTTACTGAAAAAAAATAACGTAAAATTAATGAATGTTTATAACTTCTGTTAATAGTCATTATCCACATAGGTCGGGGTTGCATTTCGTTTTAGATCCTTTGATTATCAACCATTCAATGTTTTAGGATAGATAACTTTTTAATACACATAAAGTAGCGCTTTTTTCATTTGATCAACACACCTTTGTTTCGACATTATTTAGATACTTGGTATATTGTTAGTATCTCTGTAAACTGGTTCACGGATTTAATCTTATGCAACCAGTGTTTTAAATATTTCAGTTAATAATGGCCACCAAGCTTTACATTTATACAATTAAAACACAATTGTATGAACGAAGTATATTTTCAATAATTTCTCGTCAGGTTCTACAATTATAAATCCAGATTAATAATCCATAAAATTGGCCAGATTAAATTAAATAGATAGATATATAGATATTCGGATATATGTCGTATCATCTGATTTCATAAGTAGGCAGTTTGTTCTTGTGGATGTAGTGAAAGAATAAATTCAGAATAATGATATTGTGGTTCTTTCAGTAATTTAAATATTGTCTATCGTTCCTCATATGTGGAGGTATAGGTGTTCATGTTTTTCTGAATACTTTACATGTTCATAGTACAAATATATCGTGAACATGTCTAGTTCTTACGCCATAAATCCACTTTATTAAACCAGATACACACTGGGTAGCTAATTTTCTAGATTTTATTTTAGTAGATGAGAAATGATATTTGGATTCTATTAAACCATCAAAGCATTAAAAAAGATATTTTAACTACTCGAAGAAGAAACTAATGTTGTTAACTGAGGTTAACTTTTAATGATTGCATAATAACACTCAGTGTTTACTGTTAGACTGTGTTAAGAGCTTATACACAGTAATATAAACCAATTAACACATTAATCATCGTAAATCTCCTTCTTATGTCTATCGTATATTACTAACAAAAACATCGCCACTAATTAATATTTCTTCTATGAAGTTTCAATGTTCTAATCTTTTATTAAGTCAACCAACAAGCTTCACTAGCTAGGACTAAATATTTTGTCCCGTTAATATTTTATGCATTTCTGAAACTCCCCTACAGGATCCAATTGTCAATTCACTTTTCCTAGCGTATGTGGTTGACCTATAAGAATTATTCTCCATTTATCTACAATCTTCACTGCATACTTTTCCTGACGTTACTGGTGGTAGGTATTGCATCAAGCTTAAAAGCAGAACCCTCTATTCTTGGTTGGATTCCAGTAGATAGTCTCTTGTGTGGTTTTTCAATGAACGCGACACTAAGAGCTTGGAAGGATAGAGATATACGACATTGATGTTTATTAAAGGTTATCATCATTTTTTTCACATTCAGCACTTGATTTTCAGTCAGTCCTTGTCGAGATATGTACATCCTGTACGGATTACATAGGCCTACTCATCTTATCACAACTTGTTTTAGGAAAAATGGGTTGTGTTCAGCAGTGGAATCCATGATGAGCGCTTCGTTCTATTTGGAACTTGTCAGCCTCATATACCTGGATCCATGTTATTATTCTCAGTGGGATTCGAACACAATACTTTTAGCTCTAAATGTGGTGTATGCTACGTATGTCGACAGACAAAAGAAGTATACAACACCAATCAGAAGTGGAAAATCTGGCAGCAGAATGCCTAGAAGATTGAGTTGGAAAGAATAGAAGGGAAAATAGAAAGGAATTATGAATTTAAAGAATCATACAGAATGTGTAGGACAAATGATGGAAATTTGTAAATGAAGTATTCTGTGTATGGTTCTTATTTTTCACCAAGATACTCTGTAATTTTGTATTGAAATTCACGACACTGATACTGACGCATTAACCTCTAAGTTACTGAGGCCAGATATTCACCAGCGTGTTCAACTGTTATGATCTTAATATCATTATCAGTAAGGATTGGGATAATCTCGTTGCTGACGTACAAGACTGGACTTTTGTGGTTATCTGGACACAATAGCTCAATGAATAATCTGTTGTGACTTAAAGCACAAAGTACCAGATCGCAGCCTAAGTGTGAACATCAATATGCAGATCTAGGTACATTCACTATAGAATGTCAAACAAAACCTATTGTGTTTCCTGGATTCCACTACTAACCACAATACATCTTACCTGAGAAATCGTTGACGTTTGTTGTTTATTAATTCAAATTATATATCTCCTGTTAGATCTTTTAATTACGTGGTACAATTTTCCTTTTATATATATTTATTACAGTTTTATCGTCGAATTTTCCGTGGCAAGAACAAACAGTGAAAAAGATGAACGATGTACAACAGCAAGAGCGAAATTTTACTATTCATCCACTAGTTGTTGTTGCAGATCAGTTGAATCGTTTATTATCTGATCAATTCACTCAAACCACTAATCAAGTCAAAACATCACCAGCATTGACATCTGAATCGAAACCAAATATTACTGACTCAATTGTTTTAATTAATGAATGCCTACCTGGTGGTGTGAATAAAATTAGTGAACACTTAGGCAAAGATATTGTTACATTGTTAGGAATAACAGTTGTGATCAGTGGATTTGTATATTCAAGGTAAGTAACATTAATAATTGTTAGCTTGGGAGGTTTGTAGAATTGAATTTTGTGGCTTATATCATGCACTGACCTTAGTTAGATTAGTGATAGTGACGGAAACGACAAATGTAAACCATTAGGTGCCAACTCAGTGGTTTAAAGTTTGAGCTCTCACCTCAAGATCTAGGTCCTAAATTTGATCCGGTGGAGTAGTGGACGTGTACTACTGAAGAGTTGCGTGACCGAATGAAATATTTGTTCAATACTTCCTGATTTACTATAGTTTTCTAACTAATATCGGTTCGTGAAATGCTAAACTTCAAAATATTTATAATTGTTTAATATAATATGTATATTCTAATTACAAAATTTACAGACATAATTAAGTCGGTACAAATATGTAGATATCGGTAATAATTTGTCAATTTTTTTGAAACATCTCGTTACACTAGTTGTATGTAAATATGATTATCCAGTTATTTTACTCTTAACATCCTTTTTTTGTAAACATTATTGACGGTGGACAGTATAAAAACATAATAATTGTTATTAAGAGAAAATGCACACTAATGTATTCGCCTTTACAAAAATCGACTTAAGGAATATACGCTATCCATCAGGAAATATGCTAACGCATTGACGAAAATGAGTGAGACAAACCTTAAAAAATTGGTTACATTACTTGAAATTACAGATATTTTACTTGGATTTGTGACGAATCTAAATCTTAATTTTTGTATTCAATTTCCCTTGTAAATTATAAATTTGACTTTAAATAGTTGAGGATAATCAATAAACAGCACTTACAAAAGTTTGTGTATTACATTTATCAGTTATTACATTCTTTCTTTGGGACACTATTGGACATTATGTCAAGTTTGTGTAGTCGTTAGAATCCTGTCTATCGAGTCGCAATGTGTCCACTACCCCAAGTGACTTGATATATTATCCACTACGTTGAGTCATATGAACAAATCGGTCACATTACAAGCCGTTAGGTGGAATTAAATCAGCATTAAACGATTAAATAAGCATGACATCGTTCATTTTTCAGGGATCAACGAATTATAAATACTTCAGCCCTAAAGCAGGTCAGTCGCAACCGAATAACTCAGTTGTCATGTCTCAAGCTGTGAATCTAAGTGACAGGTTCGAATACCCCAGCGATCATCTGCTCTCTCAGGATTACAGACGCGTCCTGTTAACAAGTGGCGATCGACACAAAACCTATGTCCATGGTTCCCTGCTAACAATGTACCCAATGCTTACGATCGCCTCAAAGAGGCCATTCTTAGACATTTCCTCCATCGAGGGGGGAACGACTGAGGACATTATTAGCACGTCACTCTCTGGGTGATGCTAAACCAAGCCATTATCTCACGTGCCTGCAATCCCTTGCAGGACCTACAGCAGCCGACTCGGAAATAGTTAAAGAACTATGGTTCGAGTCATTACCGACTTATATTTAACCAACCGTGACGGCTCTGCTCGAGGGTGCGCCACTTCATCAGGTCGCCTTCATGGCAGACAAGATTTTAGCGAGGACTGATAACAGAGACAGCCATGTAGTTTCCTCAGCGGCACGTCCTAATGTAGATAAGGACCCCGGTTATTCTTCGGCTCACGGTGACAAGGACGGGTGTATCCACACACGTCTTAGTTTTCGAGACCGTTGTGGTGGTGTCGAGTCGAGGTTGACTATGGGCACCACTACAGGGAAACGCGTACCAAATAAATCAGAAGGTGAAGATTGAACGTAACCAGATTTATTTGGTACGCATTTCCCTGTAGTGGTGCTCATAGTCAACCTCGACTCGACACCACGCTATAACTGGTGAGCCGAATTTTGGAACACGCCTCAACCTCTGGTCAAATCTTCCAAAGAAGTCAATTTCGTGAGTCTATTGTTTATCTATCCACGTCTGTCGTGTATTTTCATGTTAATTTTTAATATATAATTTACTTGACATGGCGGATAACGATAAGACTAGTATTAATATCATAGACTCTGACGTACAGGCCATCCGTTTTCTACCTATATCATTTGTCCCCCATGATCCAGAGGTTTGGTTCGCTGCATTAGAGTCTCAATTCGAGACTCGCCGCATTACGAGCCAAAAGCAAAAGTATGCTTTCGCTCTCGAATCTCTACCCGGGGACCATTTATTAGCTGTACATGAGGTCGTCCTCAATTCTAATGTACCGTTCTCCGTAAAAGACCTTCGTTGGCAACTCGAGGGTCAATGATCGTTTCCTGTTCCGCCAATCCTCTCGTCCTACAATCGCACGTTTGCCGATCAGTCCCACGAATCAAACCGCTACTTACCGAAAGTGTAAACCCTTTTTAGCGATTGATTTAATTGAAACAATTATTATTATAACCAATTGTACCAGTGATTGTTTTACTGTGCTAGTTTGCTTAACTGTGCTAAAGACAGCCATATTCCTACTCCATTCCTCTCCATTACTTTTCCGCGGATCCAACCATATGACCAGTAATCTGAAACGCAACGTTTGATGCAATATGTCATTGATTATTGTACTCGACTTTCGACTAATAGGTTACAAATTTGAATCCCGATCCACGTAGTTGAATTTTGCCAACTGAATAGAATTCAGATACACAGTGTAGTTCAATGTCTAGTGCATAAGCCTATAACTGGTAAATAACTTGGAAAGAAATTATATAGATGAATTCATAAATACATTTTGATGCAAATTAGTTGTGTAACTCTCGATTTTTTTCCTCATTGTTAGGCATATATAATATTTGCAAGCATTTCGTTAATTTTTTTTCCTTGTTAGTAATGAATACTCTTATTATACAGCATAATGATATCGGATAAGTGTTTTTCTTACATTGTTAGCATAACATCCAATAAGCTTTTCATATATTTCTTTTACATATGCATATTGTTGTCTTGTTTTTTTTTTGTAAATGGACGATTAAACATCAAACTGTATCCATTCATTGCGTGTATTTATGCTATAATGTAAATTAATTATAGTTAGACATCTATTAATTTTTTTATAGTTACGAATTTATTGTAACTTGATTACATTTCTATCATATTTCACTATTTCATGTTATTATTTATCCAATTCAATAATCAAAGTCTGGGTTTAAATCATTGGTTTTTGGATCCTACTTTACTTCAGGTGATGATTATAATGATCCTGTCCAATTTTCTGAGATAAACTGAATACAAGGCAATTAGAATTTATAGTTTAATGGTTAAAAATCAAATGCTTGAGTTACTAAAGTCTTACTGTGTTATCTTAAATTAGAAACTAAATTATATCTCATTTTATTTTTTGTGTAATTTGTTCTAATATTGATATTTGACAAAGTTTGTTCAATTACTGATCAGTACGTATATGAACTGACCTAATAATAGTTCTTGAAAAATTCCTACAATATTATGGACTGTAAATGAAGATAACTCATTGGAAAAGACAGTTTCATTGTGGTACAAAGTCGGGACGATTGTCAACTTGCAATATTTGTGGAAACATCTACATTTGATATCTCTTGAGCTTTTGATCAGTAATTCACTATTTGGATGATTAATAATTAAATGGATTCAGAAAAATTGTCTTTGGTTGCTATCGTAACAAAATGTTTGTTTTGGTGAGATACAGAAAACGCCTCGAAAAAAGCCAAAAAAAGGCTTTGAAAACGCTGAGAAGCATCTTATCCGATCGGCATTAATTAGATGTTTTGCACGAAACATCTAGAAAGTGAGTCGTCACATGTCGAGTTTTTCATTGAATGATTACCTATGTTGCTACAATGTTTAGTAGCGTTTCAGAACATTCCGGAAACCCAAGGCCATAGAAAATACTATGAGGCCCTGGATTTTCTGTGCATAAGCGACGTTGAAGTAAAGCATTTCTTCCATATTTCACGCCTTTTCTCTCGTGTTCAAGTCGCTGTGTAGATTTAGTCTGGGGGTTACTAGAAGAGCTTGTGAACCTAATCTAGCGTTTAATTAGAACACTTATCAGGGGCGTCGGGGAAAACCACAATGAACATTTCTTTGGAGCAACTAGATGCCTATACGGAGCATCAAGAGAAGCGGTTTGAACAGTCACAAATCAGAATCATGAAAGCCCTTATGCAGAAAATGTGCTTGTCCAGCAAAATCCAGCTTCTGGTGAATTACAAGTATTTCATACTGATTCAGTCATTAATGCGACCCATGAATTTAATTTTGATGGTGTAGCAGGTGTTACTTTTGGTTCAATAAATATGAAAATCTGTTCCATATTGATCTCTGCAGACTGGATGACGCCTGAAAAGTCAGAATACTTTTAAGAAAACTTGGGATGACGGAACATGAACGCTATAGTAACTTTTTTCTTTCAAAGAACTCATGGGCCTTTAATTTTGATGAAACAATTAAAACCCTGTCTCACATATTTGGAGAACAGTCATCTCTATTTAATATCCGTTGTTAATGCTTGAAGATAACGAAAGCACCAGGAGATGACTGGGTGAAACATGCAGGAATTGTGAACGGAGAATGTGAGAAATTCAAATTGTTTTCCATGACAGAAGACAAGTTTAAATCCCTTGTATTTGACTGCAGCCTGCATTCACCCGAGGATATCTGAAAAAGAATCCTACACAAACTTGAACATTGTCCCAGCATTACTCTATAGGAAGTAGCTAGCGAATGCCAAAGATTAGTCAAGTTGAAACATGACTCCTCAATGGTCATCACGTCAATGCAGTCAAGAGAAAAGTCTTACAGGGTTCTAGCACGCAGAATTATCGTAATGACAGTGACAAACCATCATCCCCATACTGGTTATGTGGCCATTGGCTTTTCAAAAGGTTTTGTCCGTTTAAAAATCATCGTTGTACTACGTGTTCCAAAAAACGACACGAAGAAAGTCATGGCAAAAGCTTCAAGCCCCGAACAACCAAAGTAACGGTAGCTCTCAAGAGAACCGGCTGATGAGTCCCGAATGGGACGAAACGTGCGTCCTGAATTCCACTGCTAGCCACCATCATCTCAGCTTATAATGCTTGTTACTGAACTCAATATCGAAGCAATCTTCATGGTATGCGCATATGCCAATAATAGACTGATCAACTGCAGTCCTGAATATCCATGGGAAAATTCAAGCAACCAATACAGATTTGAAATAACCTGTTATCGTTTATGCAGTTTTTCTTGTCATTAAATGTTTAAGAAATTAGACTGAATCAATTGAACACTGTCTGGCTATAGGATAAAATGTTCAATTATAATTTACTAATCTAAATTATCATAGTATGATGGACATAGATGTTTGAACTGATTATTTCTTTGCTTCATTATTATTCACTATTTATGAGATATAATTAAAATATTGAACATAATTTCAATTCTCTTGACAAACGAATATATCAGAATGAGTTTTGTGGAGATTTTTAGAAAATTTCACAGGTTGAAATCATGAGTCATTTGAAGCTGGACCACCATGGAAAACCTGGAAGCACTGGACGGCCGTTTCGTCCTAGTATGGGACTCCTCAGCAGTGCGCATCCACGAACCGCCCCCCGCGGGATTCGGACCCAGGACCTACTGGCTTCGCGCGCGAGCACTTAACCACTAGGCCGACATCCAACGGTGTTAATGTCTAACTTCAACCAATCCACGAAGTTGCGCCACCGAACACCATTGTCTTCAGTGAGCTGATATCTCACAACAGACCTGGTTGAACTCCAGTGCTTCCAGGTTTTCCATGGTGGTCTAGCTTCAACTGACTCATGATTTCAACCTGTAACACGAATATATGCTGTAACCTGTCCTTTATATTTGCATTATTTTATTGAAAGTTTTAAAATATATTTTAACTGGATTAAATTTAATTATTCATGATGGACAGAAACAAAGAAAATAATACACTGCACTTGATCGTTTTATTTGTTCTTTTTTCTAATACTTTTAAAGACCTATTTATGACAGTAAAAGTCATAAACCTGACAGTTTTTTGATACCTTCTTAGCTGTTAGATGATAATGACTACATTTTGATGTTTTCCTTTTCCTTCCCCCCCTCCCCTCATATAGTAGTAAACTAATAAAAATCATTTTTATGATTATTATTCAAGATAATTCTTATCTGTGCGATGTTTTTTCTCTCGTTTTACTTTCTCATAAGTGTTGTTGCTATTTCGTTTTCTGGTTTAGTAATATTGGATCGTAATGATGGTTACCCTCTAGTATTGGAATGTACAATCAGACTGATTTGTATGCACATATCTTTCTAAATCTAGAATATTGGTTCGGGACTAGTTTGTATCAGTAGCTTATCTAAACATAGTGAATAAATTGATCAACTGATATGACAATTACACTAGCCCTTGGAAAATCTTGGTATGATGGATACGGATGCATAATTGAGTTTCAGCGATTTGCACTATCCGTGACTTGATATCCCTCTACCTATCAAGAAGAAAACTTAGTACGCAGCATTCCTATTTATGTTACTTTACATTGGTGATATATTTTTTATGAACTAAGAAGACTTGAATAGGTTGCTAGTATTTGATAAATCCGATAAATTTTTTGCTTATAGTATAACTTTTGGTGGCCCGTTTGATCTGACTCCATTCAGAGCGTACGAATGTTTGCTATCACCTATTCTCGTATATAATTGTCGACTTAATCGCGTTAGTCAATAACGGAGTTAAATAAGTCGAATAACGAGGATTGATTTGTGAATACATATATTTTGTACATGAAGCGAATGAAACAGAGCCAAGCAAAATGACACGCAGGAAAGATGGCTGGGAAGCCAACTCCATTTTAGCCAAGCGTTGCTCAATATTTATAGTCAGATAAAATTAAGCTACAGACATGTGATTAATAGGATAAGAAGGTCACACACATATAAGCTCATATAAAAACAGTCAAGACTGACAAGCGAATAATTGACAAGGTCAAAACATGACTCAAGTAGAACGAATAGAATGGGATGTCCGAAAGCTAGAATAAGGTATGTGGGCTTAACATAATAACTGACACTACAAACTACGGAGTGAATTCTGATTAGATAGAAACAGTAAGTTGGTTGATAAGATTATAAACCTTAATCGATTAGTGTATGTAAAATGTATTTCTCGATATACACTATTCTGATATGCAGTACTGATGAGCAGTGGAATAAGTTGGATGAAAGTTTGGGGCGATTAGAGCAAACAAGATATGTACCAGAAAGTTCACATTTCACGGTTTGGATCCTTGTGATAATTATGACTTATAATTGATGATTTTTCCATTAAAACCTAATCTGATCAAATAGTTACTATGTGAACCATCAAACTGTTATCTATTATATATATAACATACATGGCTCAAAATCGTTTGCAGTGACACAGGTGCATCCACTCTTGGTGTTCTCTCAAATTTTAATCTTCTGAATTCTTCATGTCCCTTTTTTTTCTCTTTCCAAATTTATTTCACTGTATTATACTCCTTGAATAACATCTTCAAACCCTAATCTTTCCGATTACTGCTTATACTCTTACTACCTCTACCACTACGGGATTTGAGTCGACAATTGTATCTGTGTGCTAATGTGGTGCGGCAACTCGAACTGATGTACGTACGTACTTACGAAGTTCTACGTTGTTACTGACTGACTGACTGATATTGCATACCAGTAACAATATTGTTGTTCATTTGTGAGCCGTAATTTGTAAGTATGACTTCACACACTAATGACTAGAGATTATGAGAAATTCTCTTCATTCATTCCAGTAAATGTTAAGGTGTCCATAAGAATTATTATTGTTTAAATTCCTACTTTTCTCACCAAAAAGATCGGAAATTAAAAAAACTGTTGAAATTGTACTTCTTTCGTATTGGTTCTTTAGACGTAATTGTTATTTTAATGAACTGTTTCATTGACAACTTTCCAAAGTCACTTAGGTAATATTTCATCAGTTGTCTTTGTCCATTTCGTTGTTTACTTAAGAGATAATACCTCTTCTTTTTGTCATGATCAATCTCTACTTCACCTTTTTTGCTGTTGTACATATATCGTTGAGATGTCATTATGTAACATAGTTATTCGATATTGTAATACTCGTAGTCAATTTGTACTTTTATCAGTATGATCACCCAACCCTTTTTCATTTTCATTAATTTACATATGAATATATCAACATGAGATACCGTGCTGAGGTTTATCGTTCTTGTTGCTAATGCTAATCACTCTACCATTGTCTTTTTGTCTTCATCTTTTTTATTTTAGTTTCCGTGCATCTATGCAAGCAAGACGTTTAGGTATTCGAACACGAAGAGAGCGTTTGGTGAGTATCAGCTATATGTATATATAGTACGAAGTATTTAACAGTTCACACTATGCATTGCAATATCAGTGAAACCATTTACTCGTTTTGATTTCGAAATATCCTACCCGTAGGTATCCTTGATTCAGTATGGTTAAGTAGATAAGCTCGTCAGCCACTTCACTCTTGAAATTTTCACCTTCTGTGATTAGTTGATATTTGAGAAAATCTTGAAGTATATTCAAAACGTTCGTCTAGGTTTTGCTAACTTACGCCACTTGTGGAGTAGCCAAGATGATCGTCTGCTTACGAAGTTATGTACATATTACTCAGAAGTTCACTCTGTGATATTGTATAGGTGTGAGACATGGTCTATAAAAATAGGAGACATGTGAAGACTACGCTATAGGTGATATTAGACTGTAGTTTATGAATCTGTCTTTTAGATCAAATACATCTGACTAGATAGATATAATAAATCCTCAATTCCATTTCCTAGTTACATCAATGTTTATGTCAAATAAATAGGAACAGTTCCATTGTTATTCTAAACATTCTATTAATTGCCATGTCCCTGTTTTACAGAATAGTTCAATAATCTGAATTAGTTCCTTGAAATTAGTTTTTTTCTCTTGTTTTCATGTCCATATTATTAACACAGATTCCCTTAAGTACAAGATATAGCTATGTAAATGATTTCGAATTGGTTATCAACACTTTTACCATAATAAACCTGAATTACATAATCGTAATCATTAAATAAAATTTTTTTAAAAATTGTTTATTCCGTGAAATAGAATACATGTAAAGCATTAAAATTATTATACATCATCTCACTAGCTAATACGGTTAACAATAACATAATAATTATCGATGTTCTTTTTAACAAGTGTCAGTAAGTTTAATATATAAACATTATAGTGTGATTTGTTTGATTACAATAATGATATATTTTGAATAGTTAAGTTGTTCTGCCTTTGATAAACACCTTTCCATTCTTTCAGTAAAACTCTCTAGATTTTGTGTAATGCTTAAAGTAGACATTCTTGTTAACAAATAAATAATATATTTGCAATATCCCAATGAGTAGAAAAATTAGATTTTCTGACGTTTCGTGGCTTAGTGTAAGTCACTTCTTCAGAGAATAAATCTCTGAATCTAAATCTAATTTTTCTACTCATTGGGATATTACAAATATATTATTTATTTATAAAAATCTACCCGATGCTCAATTTATTCGAAATTATCAAATCAAACCTTCGTAATGATACCTATAAATTCTCGTTAACACTTCATAATTAAATCAATCGGTATATTTGATGGGTTTTGTATTATTGAAATGAGGATTTTTGCAAACAATGAAATGGTAAGATATTTAGACTGATGATGACCTCCATGTTAGTATGATAATAAACTTGTCTATCAGTTTTAGCCTTTATATATATATATATATATATATATATATATATATATATATATATATATATATATATATATATATATATATATGATTGACATAAATAAACCTTTATACAAAAATCTAATTCAATGAATTTCATGTAATTATATCAGTCAGTCAGCTACAATGTAGGACCAGGCACACATATGCATCGGTCCAAGTTGCCATACCTCATTAGCACAACAAGATGAACACAGGATTCATAGTAATTATATCATCTATTCTGTAATAAGGTTTATTTCACACCTTTAATATATTTTTAATACTGAGTGAATAAATAAATGAACGAGGTAAACTGTTTAGAAATAAATCCAAGTATAAATGAATAATGTTATTTTTATTAAGTTCAATTTAGAATATTGGTTTATTCGAGCTTATAAATAAAACAGTTGTTCAGTATTACGTAACTTTTATTCATCATAAATATATACATTCTGAAAATGTCAATTTATTACAGTCATGATTAAGTTGATACAAAACACAAAGCAACATTCCAAAACGATAAGGTGACATTATTCCAACAAATTGTGTTTCACAAATTATTTTGACTGGATATTTGTAATGTTGTTTTTAAAAATTGTGAAAAATAAGTTGCATACAATATATTTTTTAATATGAAGTGAAATCATCTTAAAATGCAGTCTTTATTGACAGAATACAAATTATCAGCATAGGGTTGTGGAGATTGTTAAGTTGTTAAGATTGATATCATGAATGGATCAATGTTAGACCACCATTGAAAACCTGGAAACACTGGACGGTCGTTTCGTCATGTGCTCACTAGCTTCAAGATGGATTTCCTGGAGTTCTAGTGAGAAGCCGTGACCAATGGAGTTCGACCGTGTTTATTGTGAGGCAGTTACTCATTGAAGACAACGGTAGACAGTCGCACAATATCACGGATTGGTCGAAGTTCGACATTAACACAGTTGGATACTGACTCAGTGGTCTAGATTTTAAGCGTTCGCGTGCGAAACTGAAGATCTTGGGTTTGGGTCTCGCGTGAGGGATCGTGGATGCGCACTTCTGAGAATATAAATTTTAATAATGACTAATTGTGTATGCAAAAGTTGGTACTGTTACATAATTTATGATAAACATTGTCAGATACCCTTAGAAGATGGCATAACTACAACGTTATGTGCATTCTATGTTATTGGATGGTAACTCTCTTTCCTTGGAAAGTACACTAAACAGTTTATTCACCAGATTTTAGCTGCTCAGCATATATACGAACAAAGTTTATAATGCTTTTGCTTAAATTTAGTAAACATTCTCAGGAGATACATAAAATTTCTTGTAGAAATTGTTCATCGAGTGAACCATCTATTCTCAAAAAGGCTATGCGTCTTGGTAATTACTGTAAAGGCTCCAAGGATATTGGAAGGACAGAGAAAACAAAACTTTTCTTTATTTATGAAATTATTGGACATGTGCTTTGTTCTGTAATTTCTGATCACTGAGTCCCTGTCCCGATGATTACTGATCAAGAGATACTGAATACTTGCTATACTTTTTGATAAACAGATTGACCAATAATATTGAATACCCTTAGTTTACATTCTAATTATGTAAAACAATAAACCCTTTCAGGTTTCCACGATATATGGCGATAGCGAAGTATTTGTGTAATAAAAATGAAGCATAAAAAACCTGACTGAAGTAATAAATATGCAAAATAAAAACAGTTAAAATGATTTTTTTAAATCTCTTTGTCGAGTTTGTCAGTTTATTTCCTTGTATGACTTATAGTGTTTAACCACTGGTTCCTAGCACTGACAATGTTGGAGAAAAAGTTTCCAACTATATAGTATTTGGATACTTTTTACGATCAATATTTATTTAACTAATATACACATTTAATGGGAATTTCTGTTGTTGTGGACTGATATCAGCTTGAAAACAAGAATTCATTAGGCAATTGTTTCATTCCGAGCTTGGAACTCCTCACCATGAACAACGTTCAATTATCAAGTCAGCAAATTGAAAATGGACTAAAGTTGTAAATGGAAATCATTAGACATTGACTCGGTGATCAAAAAGTTGAACTCTAAGGACCTGAGTGTCTTGGGTCCTATCTCCTGTGTAATTACGGACATAGACTGCTGAGAAGTCCTCTACTAGAGTGAAACAGTTGTCCAGTGGTTACCTGAATAAAATCAATTCGTAACGTTAACTATAGTGTTGAGACTGTCGGTCTTTGAATTTTGTCTCGCAGCTATTCTGAAGCTAATATACTTGCCAAAAGATTTGATGACTCTGTCCTATATTACGAGTGCACGGTACGTAGTAGTTACAAACTAAGATGGAAGCAGCTACCTAGTTCTCTTTGATTTTCAGTGTCAGAAAACACTTTCAAACTAAAATAATTTCCGCAAATCACCTAACCAAATGATATCCATATTTATTGATGTAACTTAATGATAGGAATGAGATGTATTACTGTGGCATATATCTGCATCAGTTCAAGTTATCACCATACAACAACCAGATGACTATAAACAGAGATAGAACTAGTATTATTATCAGTGTTAAGAAAAAAGATTATGCATGGTGAATATGACTACTGATTAAAGAATGAATCCACTGCAAAAAAAACTTAATCTATGGATAGAGATCATATCTTGAAAGTTAAGATAAAATAACGTCACTTGGTGTTATCTTGTAAGCGTACTTATCAATTTTAACAAAAATATATACCGTTGGATGTTCCTTTGAAATTGGTTGCATGTTTAAAAGAAGATGAATACTTTTGATGTTTCCTACAGAGTGTCCTTATGCTTTTGTGTCTATACATGTGTCCCTTCGTGGCATAATATACAAATCATATCTTAAAATAAACAAACTATGTAAATGGACACTTGTTGATAAAACTGTTAGAGATACTGTGTTTTTTTTTCTTAAAGAAAGTAGTGCACTTTGATTAAACAGGCTAGAAAAAATGTCCTTTTTCTGAAGATTGAATTTTATAAATTTCTAAAGTTGTAAAATTTACTAGTTAAAATCAAAATTTCCTCAAATGAATAAGGTGAGAGTGAATAGTTTCTTATAGACAATGTTCTACATTTAAATAAACAAAACAAACCAAATGATTTAGCTAACAGAATGATATGAAATATAATTTAATCAGAAAAATATTCTTTCTAGTGATTAGATTCTCATAAAATGTATTGTTGTATGAAGTGTTTTCGTTGTAGAAGTATACCAGATCGTTATGTACAGAAGCAATGTTCACCTTCACCTTCATTACAATTACTGTAGTTTCTTTTATATTTCTTTACTTTTTATATTCTCGTAATTGCTGTTGGATTGTTTTTTTTCTATCCTTAAGTTACGTGTTATCTGATCCTGCTTAGTTCATTGTATACTAAGGTTTTCGACTAAACATTTCATTCATCTATTATTTTTGTACTGACTTCTTCATTTACTATCTAAGTGAGTTTCGTCATGGATTAAAATCATTTGTGGTATCACTGAAAACCAATATACACTAAATAAAGCTAGAACAAACCTTGATGCAGAATAATATAAATTCATCATATTTCGTGCTTTCGCATCAGCTGCTTACAACCATATATGTATTAAAAGTTAACATTGCGGTATGATATAATGTGAAATAACTGACATAGATGAAGCTATCATTATATATATATACTCAGTTGGGATTGAAAACATAAGAGGTGGGTGATGCATTAATCAAATGACGTCTATAGAATGATAAAGTGGATTGTGTGATAATTTTAGAGATTATGAAGGGTTTACATAAGATAACTGGAATTAAAGACTGATAAGATGGGTTGTGTAATAATTGGACAGGACTTGAAGAGTTTACATAAGTTACGAGAATTAAGCGAATAAAAACGTAATAGTGAAAGGATAGTTTTGGTGTACATAATATATGACCATGTGACATAAACACTAATAAAATAATGATAATAACAAAAAACTCACCAAGGTAGTGATAAGTTTATTACTGTCTCTTTCTGGATACATAAATCAGGTTTGAGCTTTTTATTGCTATTGCATCGATATATTTAAAAGATGTTACGTTCTGTTGTCTGCTGATAATTTTAAAGGCTTGTGGCCCGGTGTTAAGCAAATGCCGAGCCATTTTGCCTCTCAGTCTCAAGTTTTTTTGGACATGTATTCTCTCTCTTCTTACAATGTATGTGCTTTGTCACATACATGTAAATTGGTGAATGCATTTGGAGGTACTGAGAAAAGAGGACCTATCGATTTTTGTTTGTTTGAGTGAGCACTTCGTTTCTTATATTATTCTGCATCAATGTTCGTTCTGGCTTTACTCAAGTTCTTAAAGGGAAACAATAGACATTGAACAGCTTTTTTTATCATAACATGAGACTTAGCAGTGGTGCATTGCTCTACAACTTTCAGCTCTCTTAGCGGGCATGATTTCCTTAGACCATTAAATTGAAATTCAATCGTTCAATTGCATCAGTGGTGATTGTCCTACTCTCTATATTGCTAAATCTTATCAATTATAACTTCGTTTTACTTACCATTAGACTCTTTACTCGATTGATATAACGGCAGAATAAAGTGTTCCCCTTTCTGCGGTATACCACTATTATTCGACTGGTAAATGGGATCATGCTATCACCAAACCAGATACTCGATCTATACACTGCATATAGACTGGATCTCGTTATACCACACACATGATTCATGATCAAAAATAAGTGATCACGGCATATCTAGACAACACTTAGTTCAACACGATCACAAACAGTTCACACTTTCAGTGAGTCTGGTATCGACTCCAATGGCACGAAGGAAACCATAAATATTCAGTTGTGTCTGTCTGTCCACGCTTACTGGCCAATCATATCTATAACACTAACTATGCACATGAATACTGTAAAAATAACCTTATTGATCACATTAAACATTCCATACAAATTTACGATTATATGTGGATTTAATAGTCAAGTTTTTTGGGAAGACAAGTTCTTTGTTGAACTATTTACTTTTTGTCTTAATCGCGAATAATTCTGAATCAGATAAACCTATGCCATATTGTTGAGATCTCACCACATTTTTACTCTCCGTAATACTTCAGTTATCACACAAATAAAATTTGACGCACATTAATACCATTGAAGTAGATCGAAAGTTATGGTAATAAGAATTATAGGAATGTAAATAAAACTAAAAAGATTGAGTGCATTGACTTAGCTGAATATTGTATCGAAAGGTCGATAAGAGAACATGGGGGGTTAGAGCAAACAGTTGTATAACGAAAAAAGGTGAAACCGAGTTTATGATGATTGACAATTATACTAAGTTGGTTAAAATGGAACTTTAGTATAAAAAACCTTGAATTTATTATAATGAAATGTGAAACGTTTAAACTTCTCGTCAATAAGGGAGATGGAACCTAACAATCGCTTCCGTATGAGCTCATAAACCAACTTTCAGACATCTAATAACTATAGTGTTAGCAAATTTAGAAGCACCTGACTTTGAGGCTTGTTAGACATCATAAAGGGATTCCGGGCTGATGTTGATTGCCTGTTAATTACTATGTTTATATGACAAATTAAGTCAGGTTTTTAGATATCTCACTTCTGAATGCATGATATCTGGAATATAATCAATTAAATCTAAGTTGAATTCTCGATTCTAGTGATTATATGCTTTGTCTTATCAAGAAAAGCATTTTTTCTATTTAACATTCTTCATAATGAACACAGAGTTTCTGAGAATCTATACGCTCTCGTGTTATTTATATTGTAATATCCTAGCTATGTTGAGTTGCTTATTAACAAAGGTATTCACAATTTTAAAGAGAGCAAAAGCAAAGTTTGGTGCAGAATAATATGAATTCATTTTATTTCGTTAGGTTCTCATCAGCTCCTTACAACCTGTAATATTTAAAATCAACGTTATTACAGATATTGGCATACTTATAGATACGTAGATGGTTAGAGATAAATATGTTTATCATGATGTAGCGAACACTTCAATAGAGTTAATAAACTCATAAAAATTTTTGTTTCGGATAAATAAATAAAGTTTGAGAGGCCGAGTTCTAAAACACAGACGTAGTGATTAGGAATCATTGAGTTAACAAACATTTGATAATTGTGTAATGAAGTAAATGAAAATAGATTAATAGTAATAAAGAAAGGTATGAATTGATATCAGTCATGAATGAAAATTATGAATTCAAGAAAATGACAATGATGTAATTAAAACTTGAGAAAAAGGTGAAATAATGAATGATGCAATAAAAACGATGTAATGTTACTAGGGCAAAGAAAGATTTATTACTGTTTTTTTCTAGACATACAGATGTGGTTTTAGACGTTAGATCGCTATTGCTTCGTCAAATTTCAAAAGATTGGAGTGCGATCGTTTATTAATCACCTTGAAAGAATTCAGTGTATCCACTTGATGTCCTGTATCAAGATGGCTCTGCTGAATGCTTTTAATCCATTTGACCTTAGACTTTTGGAATATGTTCTTTGAATTGGTTTTAGGCTCTCCCTTTTGTTCTACCAATGTAACTGCTCTGGTAGATACATGTGAATTAGCATACATAGTTGGTGGTAAAAATTCCGGAAGATTCTTCGACCTTTAAACCTGAGAAATTGAGGATCGTCAAAAAATGTTTTGTGTATCCCGGGTTTTTGTTAGGAAACTTTCTCTTTTTTACTGTTTATTGCTTACAGATTATTATAGTTAATCAAGATACATGAAATGATAGTGAACATTTGTAGCTCAGTTGGATAATTTAGGTGGAGTTTTGTTTTCTATGGTAGATGGTTTAGCCGTGGAGGCTTCATTGTTTTTCAGTGGAAGCTGCACGACCAAACCATGCACCTCAGACAACAAAATTCCACCTAGATCTAGATAAATATTTCATCACGATTCTTTATAATAAATTAAGATTACTTACTTCATCTTCCAATATTTTCCCTCATCACAGAAAGCCGTCCTACCACCTATTCACGAAAATAGCCAATTTAATGAATCTCCTTTACAATCTTCCAATAATAACAAACCTAACCAGTCTTCCAATCCAGTTGTAACCAATGACTTGAATAAATCTCCAATACGTTTTATGAATTATAAAGATGTAAAACGACAAGAGCATGGTAAGTGAATCGATTGTAATAAGTTATTTTTCTGAATTACTCGTAAAAATATATTTTACAATAAGTGACGCATTTTTATTGTTTGCATATACCTCATTTACACATGATCAAACTTTAACACATAAATTTAAATTCTTTTTACCAACAGTAAACTTCCACTTTAGAGCGATTAGTTAGTTGATTTTTGAAGCCTACACGAACTTCTTCAGTTGGTCTAGATAAATCTGAACGTGTTTGACAATCAGTATTAACGATTGATTGTGAAAGCATAATTTCTTGATGAATGTGTTCGATCATCTGATATTTAACAGTGACCTTTCTTGACATTTACATTAATTTCGGTCATGGAGCATTCGCAGTGGATATTACGTCTAAAAAAAACTGGTCATCTGATGCTTTCATCATTATTAGTAAGCCTTTGAGTTGTCCTGCTGTTAATATCCAGGACTAACTTTAGATCAGTCTTTATTGGCATATATACATTATCCGCTATTTAGGATAGATGAATTGTTGGTAGCGATGGAAACTAGGGCAGGCGTTCCTCTCTGTTTAAGACTCGCCAGGTAAATTTGTCGACATCCTATTGCTGATACCCACATTGGAACTGGAACCCAGTGGTCTTCGCCTCAAACGCCAATGGGTCGTCTACTGATTTACTGAGTTAAGATATCCAATAACTTATCCAGCAGATATGGTTTTTGGAGCGATCCCAAAATGACCATTAACACTGGGATTCAGGTAAACCTATCTGGAATGTTTCAAACAAGGCTAAACTTGTATTGTCAACTCCACTCCAAGCCACGATTCACTTATCCTAAATCTCCAAATTATGGTCCTCGACCGTTGGCAAATGTTTAATTACAGCTGGTAAATCTAAAACTATAAACATTGCCGTTTTGTGTCTCATGCCACTATAATCATTATTTGGGCTGTTGTACATTCGAAAATGAAATTGTTTTTATGTATCTGCAATAAAAAATATTTTGTGTGAACTTTTAACTCAGTTATCTAACCAGCAGACTTTCAGCCATTGTATTCTATAATGCAATGGATTCATTTTTACTTTTGTTTTGTGTTAGTCACTACATATTTAGTGTAGCCAATACACAAATATGTATGACTTTGTTAAGACTACGTTTTTTCATCGATTCTTTAATAATTTGTGCTAAACATTAACGATATTTGCGACTTATGTGTATACTTGGTGGTTTATATTAACCAACCAACCATATATGTTGGTCTAAACTGCATATGGATTTGGCCAATAATTTTGCCTCGAAGTATATGTTTTTGTATTTCGTCCGAAGCGTGTGTTGTGATTAACAATCACTTCATTATCATTCAGGCTTTTATCTTCTATTTAAGTACATGAATATAAAGTATTGTGACTAGTTGTGTTAAACTAATTTATAGTCTCAGTTAAAATATAGTAGTCAATAGTTTGTTTTCCTGTGTCAAAAAGACTTTCGTAATATGTATAAACATTTTCATTTGTTTTATTTCACTAAACTGAAGTCACTTTGAGACTTCATCGAGTTTCGTAGCCATATTATTGTTACAACATTTTTACTTTTCTAAACATGTCTCGTGGTCCGCATGTTGGTTTATCTTTTGAGTCGGCAGTCGGAAATATATTTTTGCTTTAGCTGCTCCATTTCATCTTTTTATGATCATGCACCGTTGGGAATTATTGCGATAACAGTTTTCCAGTCGATTTGGATAGGAGTTATAAGAATAATCACTTTGATACCGGTACTGCCTCTTTCAATGTTAAATTGTTTCCCAATTAAATTATTACTTTAGACAACAACAACATCACAATATAAACTGTCATTTTCTACATGCTTGAGATCTTTTAAGGTCATATCACTCATTTGAATAAATCTACTTTGAATGTGATTGAAACTTAACATTAGTTTTGATTTAGTAATATTATTACGATCATTTGAAACATATGGATGCATTCGTTTTTAATGAATGTGGTAATCAAAATTTTGTAGCATACTAATTTTTATATATTTTTATTTCTAAATATTAACTGGTGGATATTTGCAAAATATTTATTCTGAATTACTAGTATTATTCATAATACAACGATAATTGGATGCCGGTTTAGTGATCTATAGGTTAAATCTGTAATGCGTGTTTTTGAACATTGTCCTTGATGCAGATCGTTTATAAAGCTGGGGTTTGCAACCACTTACTTGATAGTAAATAGTACGAATTAATACGCTAGATAATAGATAGGACACACATTAGGTCACGTTTCTAAATAACTTACCAGATTAATTAATTTGACCATCAGCTTAGATCAGATGATAAACAGATATATCATTCTGACCAACGATTGAAAACAATATATAAGCTGGAACAGTCGTTTATTGACATAAATTCAAAGCAGTCGCACAATGTAAAATCCAGAGGAGAAAAGAATTTATAAATTCAGCGAAATTATGTGTCGATCCAAGATAGACCATCGTTAAAATCTTTGAAACACTAGTCGGCTGTTTTGTTCTAGTATAGGACTCTTCAGCAGTGCTCATCTACAACCCTGTTTCCGGGACTCGAACCCGAGACCTTTGGTCTTGCGCATGAGCGCTCAACCTCTGAACCTCTAAGCTGGCATCCAACAGTGTTGATGTCTAATTTTAATCAGTCCACGCCATTGCGCGACTATTCATTGTCTTCGATAGGTAACTGCTTCACATCCGACACGGTTCGGTGAGAAGCCTCAACCAGTGGAGTAAACACAAATTAAGCTATACATATTTACCCGAAACTTTGAAATAATGACCACTGGATGATCAACTAACAAAATTATTCCCCTGTTGATCTACTGTGTAAGAGCTGTACGGGACTGTCATTATACTACACCCATTTTGCTAAAACATTTAGAATAAATTATGAAATAATGGAGAAAATTTCAAGTAACGTGTATGCTCCGAGCTCAATAGTTTAATCGTGAAACTTTCCGTGTCTCTCTAGACAAAATTATCAGCTTATACTTTAAGAATGAGTAACCTATTTGAATTTCTTCAAAGTTGACTAACAGCTTACTCTGTTGATATGGGTTTTTATTAGGTATTGTCTATAATTATAGATAAGATTGACTTTCCGAGGAAGTAGCAAAATAATACTGTTTCTTTGCACAAAATAGCGTTGCAATTTCAATTTAATCGAAAGTTTTTCGGACAAATAAGTGTAGCCATGAAGGTTTACAAATTATTTAAATACTTCGTTTTGTTTATGTGGTCCATAACATTTACAAACGTTTCTCATCTTTCCTACGAACTTTTTATTTTGATCATAATGATTCCTTTATTGTTTATTTTTTAATTGCATTTATGGATATTATAACAAGTTTTCTTATCGCAAACATTAATAAATATGTTTTTTCCTTCGTCAGTTTAGTCATCCCATTAATATTGTTTTCTGATGGTATCGCCTACTATTATTATTATCTTCATGGTTTACATCACAGACTGGTTTTATGTAACCACTAAAAACCAGAGAGCACTGAATCACTGTCTTTTCCCAATGTGGGACTGTCCAGCGTTTCCCATTCACAACTCAACCGGGGATCATACGGTTGGGTTGTGTAAATCTAACAGTCTTCACAAACCGTCTATACTTACCATTATTATTATCACCATTATTATGATCAATTTACTGGTAAATACTACCGATTTTATCATTGTACCTGCCATAATCAAAATAGCTTTCATACCTTTCTTGTACTCAATTACATCATGGTCTCTCTCTCTCGCGCGCTTGTTCTGTTCACCTATAAATTCAACTTGTGTGAATACTGAAGTACTTATGACTACTATTCACTAGTAAACTTAATGATTTTATGCATGTTACATACCAAAATACACTCGTCAAACATTTTATTTATTTACGCAAATCCGTGCATGGGGGAAAGATTTAAAAAAAAACACAGATTTATGAAATGAATTCACTTCATCCCACGATGTTTGTTGTTCTTGCTTAACATTAGTCTATAATTATGTTATAACTTTCTGTTTGCTTGATCATTCCATTTCAGTATTAAGTATGCATGAAATTCTGTCTATGAGAGAGAAGGTAACGAACAAGTATGGTGAATTTGAATTTTTTAAATTGTATCTCTATCACATCCAAGTTTACCGAATAAAAGAATTTTCATCTTATCTCTCAGCATGATTGCTTTTCTGCCTGTTAACTATGATCTATCCCGATCAGATATACTTGATTCATATACAGTTTTAGTGTTTGTTGTATTTCAATAAATAAACTTGTTCTTTTTTCGAATTCATAAGTGTAAATCTATAAAATCTATGATTCGTCAGTATAGTTAGCGTTCGTCTTTTTTCATTCATCTTCTATCTGTTTAGTAGATTTTATGTTGTCTATTCATCTATTTTCTTTTGTTATCATGTTTGTATGTATATTTCATCTTGAACAATTCAACTGTTTTAACTTGAACTTATCCCAGATATTGGACATATGGTCAAGCTGAGGTAGAATCACTAGGCATGTGTGTAAATGTATACAAATTAATGCGGTAAAACAATAGAAAACGTGATGTGTTTACAATAGGAAAATGAATGAAATCAATTTGTTCTTGATTAATTATCTGAAAAATGATCAAAATTCACTTGTTAGTTTAAAACTGATTGTAGTCACTACTGTTCACTAATTCAATAGATCAAACTGAAAGGCTATCTGTTTCTTATTTGAGTAATGAATATTTGTAATCCATGTGTTTTATTTTATTAGTTGTATTGTCTAAGTTATTTTACTCAGAGATTAAATTTTTCTTAATAGCATTGTTAGCTGTTATGTAATGGAAGATATTACTTTGTTTTCATGATTTTATGTCTGTCTTTATTTTTGACAGCATTAAATCTACTTGCTGATGCTGTGGCTGATTTACCTAATCCAAAGGTTTTCCGCAGACCTTCAGCACGTCAACCTCGATTAAATTTACAAACTCTTAATGCATCAGATGTAATATCTCAGAACATAGGGAATAATCTAGGCAATTGTAAGTCTTAGTGTTTCAATTAGATTAGTATATGATTTATTGTAGTGTTATTCACTAATTATTTTCTGTTAACTAATATGTGTGAACGATAATAAATTATTAATGAGCTTATGTTCATGTGTTAGTTGTTAATCTCTTCAAACTGAACTACAAGATTCATTGATCAACTGGATACTCAGCTTTAATTTACTAGTTATAGGCTCGAACCCCTTAAAGCTTACTTTGGTTTTAGTCCCAACTCAATATATATATATATATATATATATATGGCTCAGCATCTAGCTCATGAATCTGTATTTGTCACCTTTATCATGGAAAAATTGGTTGATGACGCTGAAAAATATAATTAACAATTCGACAAAATAATCACTTGTGAAGATGTAATCTGTGTCTGGTTCGTTGTTTTCTTGGCTTGGTAGTACGGCTGTTAAAAAAAGACATGTGACTCCAAACATTTTCACAAAATTAAACTAATCTCTACTGTCTATGTAAAAATGTTCGAGTAAACAAGCATATACTATCCTAAATCGACTAAATGAAATCCATCAGAATAGCTCACTAGCTTATGAGATGTCACTAGAAAAAGTCAAAATATTTGGATTGTTTACTATCTCACTGTCAATTTTTTTATGCCAATATAAATGATTAAGGTAAGATTTTATCCAGCGAAATACGTGAAGGCTCTTACTTTCCCTCTGGTTATAATCATTCTATTCAGGTTTATCACTTTTTATCTTCCATTCGGTTTTCTCTTCAATGTTATTGGTGGTTTCTTCTTAGATTTTAATTATTTCAAGTAATCCAAAGTTTTTTAATAATACATTAATCACTAAACGAACAGTTAATTGTTGATTAAGATCATGAATCGATCAAAGTTGAACCACCATTGAAAACCTTGAAGCACTGGACTAGTGAGAATCCGTGACCAGTGTGGTTGATTCATATCGGTTACCCATTAAAGACAATGGAAGATGGCCACTCAATATCATGGATTGGCTCAAGTTAGACATTAATACCGTTGGATTCTGGCCCAGTGGTCTAGAGGTTAGACGTTCTCATATGGATCAAAGTCGTAAATAACATAAAAAGAATAAAATTGTAAGGATGGGAATTGTGGGATTACACTGTCTTCAAGATTTAAGATAAAATTAATTTATCATGGATTCATTTCTTTCATATTTATAGATGTTGAAATGTGTTATCACTTAAGGCTACCAACTTTCGACCAGGCGACCTAAATTTTTTGACAAGATTCATTAATTGATTCCATGAAATCACATTATATGTTTGTTTAGAGGTGCTTATATTCCTCTCTAATCTACCCTTATTCTGACTAGTAAAACATATCTTAGGCAAGAGATAGCTAAAATACACTTTAACCATTTATTACTTTTGATCATTGTCTTCTATGTATAAGAGAGTACGTTTAACATTGTCATTTTCTGCCTAACAATTTTAAATTATCTGAACATTCTATAAAGATATTTCTATCAAACATTGAGCGGCCTGCTTGAATACCTGGGCTACCTGCTTCTACTCTCATCTAAATTTTTCAACAAGTTATCTTTTTTATTTTGTTTTAATACATTATTAAGTATCGCATAACCTATTTAGGCGCGTTTGTGAAAAGTTTACGGCATTTTGCTGTACAAGTTACAAAGGAGCCCAGTCAGAGACGTCGTAGTTGCTGGCAATATGCATCGAAAAGAGTATATGTTATCCAGATGTCGATTCCTGAACTGCTAACATCTAACTGGTGATCACTCAATATTTATCATCGGGATCGATCAAGAAATAAGGAAAGGAAACTCGTTGAGGTACTTTGTTCTGAGAATTCTATATTGTACCGAAAATATAATATTGAATAAAGCCGTTAATAATACATTCTATGTAAAATAACATAAAATTCGGTCATTTCTGAATTTCGTGCAATAATTCAAAAATAGTTTTCTCTATTCTGATTGACTCATCCTCGTGCCATACTTTTACCATCATGACCCTGTAGGGCCACTGAAATTTCACTGGTTCAATGGTTCAGTCAACTAAATAAAAAATTAGTATTTAGGTATGGGGGGCGTACAATTTGTCTATCGATCTGTAGCAATATAAACTAGATCTGTATACTACTGATTTTTATACAAAGAACGAATTTATTTTCAATTTCTTTCTACCTAATTTAACTTCAGGCGGTGTAAAAAATACAAAGAATAAATTATCCTCATCTCATAATAATGATGTTACTGACAACAATCACAATGTTACTACTACTGCTACTTCTACTACAACTACTGGTAAATCTACTTTACGCTTAGCATCCTCTGAACCGGATTTGACAATTACTATGAGAAATTATTCACGTCAACGTGGTGATATACGTGATTTAGATTGGTCAATAATTAATAATGATGGTAATAAAAATAATAAACCATCAAAGCATAAAACTGATAAACGATCCCGTGAACATTCATTAACTTCATTAAATCATCGAATTGGTTATTTACGTCATAAAAAACTGAAACAATCTAAAAGTCAATTGAAATCAACAAATGTTTTAAATGACAGTAAAATTAATGATATACACGGTAATAATAGTTTGTTAACTTTTGGTGAAGGTGAAGATAATGATAATTCAATATTGAAAGAAACAAAACCTTCTAAACTTCATTTTCGGAAAAAAATTAAAAAAACATGGCGTGGAACATGTCGTTTAAATTCACATGAAAAACGAATTGTTAATGATTTATATTTATTTAGTGCTGATAGTCTCCCTGAAAAAGTTGGTAAGTAGTCAGTTTAGTTTTTTGATTATTGATGTGTATATAATTCGTAACAAATACCCGCAGACTTTTGCACAGTTTTATTTTACTCGGATTTCATTTCTGTATTGAACGAATTATTGTCGCTAATAGCATTCATTCTCCAGTGAACCAAGATCATGATTTATATCAGTCAGTCAGTTAGTAACAACGTAGAACTTCGTACGTACGTACATCAGTTCGAGTTGCCACACCACATTAGCACACAGATACAATTGTCGACTCAAATCCCGTAGTCGCAGAGGTAGTAAGAGTATAGGCAGTAATCGGAAAGATTAGGGTTTGAAGATGTTATTCAAGGAGTATAATACAGTGAAATAAATTTGGAAAGAAAATAATGGACACGAAGAATTCAGAAGATTAGAATTTGGGAGAACACAAAGAGTGTATGCACCTGCGCCATTGCAAACGATTTTGAGCCATGTCATTCAGGGTCTCTAACCATCGGTTGCTATCATCTCGCGGTCCCCAATGAGGTAGTCTACACCTACCAATATGGCACAGTCCACTTATCAGTGACTTCATGGACTTGTCCATGTTTTGGTCTGGCCAGCCCTAGCTTTCTTCCAGCCTACTCCTACACCATAAAACATCGCACGTCGAGGCAGTCGGTGGTTGGTCATACGTAACACCTGTCCCAGCCATCTCAGCTGATGGAGTTTCACTACTTCATCAATTGATTTGCCATCCTTACCTAGTATCCGTTTCCTAAAAACTGCGTTACTTGCTCAATGGTCCCAAGATATACGAGCAATATTTCGAAGACACCTATGATCAAATACTAGTAACCTGCGAATATCCTCTACTCTTACCGGTCATGTCTCACTGCCATAAAGTAGGACGGAACGAACTGCTGCGCAGTAAACACGTCCTTTGGTTGATAGATGGATATCTCGCCTACGCCATAATGACGCAAGTTGGTAAAAGCTAGTCGAGCCTTCTGTATCCGTGCTGAGATTTCGTCACACACCAGATCACAAGGGATGATCAGACTTCCAAGATAAGTGAAGCGATCGACACGCTCAACTACTTCACTCCCTATCGTTAGTTCGGGTGTCAATGCAACCCAATCCTGAAGCAACATTTTGCATTTCGAGGGAGAGAATCGCATCCCGAACATGCATGCATTGTTGCTTAGAGTGGTCAGAAGACTCTGCATTTTGTCAGCGTCTTCGCCAAATAAAACTATGTATCAGCATATTCTAAGTCAACAAGTGAATCTCCCGGTAGAAGTTCAACTCCTGGAAATTTAGATGAGGAAAGTGTTATCTCTAAAAGCTCGTCAACGACAAAGTTAAACAAGAATGGAGAGAGTGGGCAATCCTGACGAACACCATTTGAGGTAATCTATTCTGATGACAGTTCGCCATAAGCTCTCACTCGACCAGTTGTGTTCGAGTAGAGAGCCTGTATAAGGTTAATGTACTTCTTTGGCACTCCTTTCAGTGACAAACACTCCCATAGAACCTCACGATCAACAGAGTCGAATGCTGTCTTAAGGTCGAGAAATACTACGATTGTGGGGCGTCTGAATGTGTGTCTGTGTTCTAGAACCTGACATAGTGTGAATATGTGGTCTATATAACCACGCCCAGGTCGAAAACCAGCCTGATTTTCTCTAGTCTGTTCTTCACAAGCTTTGGTTAGGCGTCGAAGTATTAATGAAGCTAATATTTTTGACACTATATTAGTCACAAGAGGACTTTCGTCCTTTCTTATAGACTGGCACAAACAGTGATTGAGACCAATTAGATGGGACTACGTTTAGTTCCCGAATTCTACCTAAGACTTCAGTTAATCTCACTGCTAATACTGGACCACCATTCTTGAAAATCTCAGGAGTAAACCTGTCAGGGCCTGCTGCTCTCCCTCGCTTCAGATTTCCTATGGCTTTTTCAACTTCGTAAAGAGTAAATTTAAGCTAAACTCTTTCAGGGCATTTAAATTAAATTTCTCAGTCGAAATAAATCTGTCTCTATGCACACTACCAATCACGGCTCATTTTCTTATACTTTTAAAATATATTAGTTTGCAGGAGAATACCAGAGAATCTTTGTGGTAAGCGGTGATGTGTGTAGTGTCAATCAAGCACACATTTAACAAAATGTTTTCCAATAACGTTGTGTCGGAATATCGCGATACAATAAATTTGTTGAATAACTGATGGTACTGTGATCTTCATAGGAATTGAAGTTCCTGTGTTTGATATCGTCTTCGCATCGTGGGTACTTCACTTCTTTAAAAGATTCATACTAGGATAAAACTAATCATAAATATGTGATCAATTTAAAATTATTAGTTATAAGTGATTGTATAATTTGATTTATCTCTTCTAAATCATTGTTAATAGGATGATAACGGTCACCTTGGTCTATATACGTTTTGTCAACTGGTTGAAACTATTGATGGATTGTACTTGTAATTATGTGTCCTGCTTTTGTCCGGGCACCAGGGCAGGATCACATCCCACACACAAGTCAAGTGACTTGTGTGGCGCATATGTAATCATTGCCCTCTTGTACCAATATTTATGTTCAAATTTAAAAAAAGATTTGCGATTATTTTGCTACTTTCTTAGTGAAAATGTCGGCTTCAGAATAGAAAGAAAGAATGGCTAGATCCAACTAGTTAATCATAATCAACTTAGGATCTGGCACATATGTGCTTTAGCTCAAGTTTCTCTGCCACATTCGGGCGTTGAGATGAAATTAATAAGATGAATTAGCAAAGGAGTAGAAGAAGGGATGAAAAAGTATCTATAAAAGACTACTAGAACTCGATAACTAGGGTGAGACGGAAAAGTGAAAGCAACTGCGCCATTGTGATGGATTCAGAGCCATATTACTCGTCTCCAATCATTAATCATGAAAATCCTGTGGATCCCAACCATGTACTGTGCACCTATCAACATGGCTTAGATCAAAAGCCAATGGTTTTGCAGGATGATTCCAAGTTTTAATTTTTCCTTTCCTAGCTTTACCTCCGTCTATTCATACACCAGCTAGCATGGTGTGTCAGGATAAGAGGTGGTTAGATATATGCAACACATATTCTGGCTGTCTCAGTTAATAAATATTCAAAACCACTCCTAGTGATTGAAAACTAAGTTGCGTTCAACATCCACGTCATTCTAGTTTATAACTTATCACCAAGATTTTCAAGTCCTACGAAGATCACAAAACCATTTAGCCATTTTGTCGAAATCCCATGGTTCATATTTTCAACCGAAATCACTTTTGATTAATTGCAACAATCGTTCAGAAGGAGATATAACTAATTCACTCCCTACTTGGCTAAACTTCAATTAGTTCCCCACTAGATCTTTAAAAATCCATCTAAAAGCTAGTTGATCGTGAAAACATTATTACTACTTAGTCGACTAGTTTAATCTATTTTGGTGATATATTATTTTCTCATATCTATGCTTCAATATCACTTATTATGTGTTCCAAATAACACAAAATACTCATCATGAACCCCATTGTTGGTAAGAACCAAACATATTCAATAAAAATAAGCATTCTCTGTTAGTATTTTTTGATATTTTTCTAGTCTTTATCTGTAAAATGAATTTTCCTATTCGGGATAGCTACATTTCGCGTCAATAATCAATCATTTAATAGAATACAAAAGCTTATCAGATGTTTGTTTTTTAAGGTATACTTATGTTCAATGCAATGGAATTTTGTTCAAATAGGTGTGAACGAAATCGAAATGTGTGAAGGACTCCTTATACATGTTTTTTAAGTCCTTTAGATACTTTCATCTTACTTCGTTTTTATGTGTACATATCGTGTCCCATATATTGTTCCTGTTTTAATGACTCTTACCAATATTTACAATTCACCAGAAATACTGGTTATAACATAGACTATATGTTATACAGGATTATAAGTATAAAATAGTTTATTATATATTTGATCCATTAAGATAAGTCCGTCCATAATCTCTAACAAATCACGACTCTATTTCACCTTAAATATTAGTAACTCACCATATATGGATTTATGTACTCTATGTTTTGACACAATGCCTCTGTGAGGGCTAGTGAAACTACTCGGCACCCTAACAAATGTTTGTATAGCTTGGTTTGAACTGACAGCTCACTTGTTGAAATGCAGTTACTTTAGGAATTAAGCTCCTGCTCTATTTACATGGTACATTTTGACTGACAGCTTTATACGTGTACGTAGTTTCTGATTTTCATTTTTATCACAAACATACAGTTTGTTTTTATTGTTCAGTAGCATTAATCTTATTTTTACCAAAATGTGAAATTTTTAGAATTTTTTTCGAAAGAGTGTTCAGAATACTTGACTGTGGCATTTTACCTTCTCAACAATCTGTCTGTTTAATCATTTTTACTCAGGTCCGAACATTTACTTATCTGTTAGTCCAACAACAAATAATCCCATACCAATGTTAGCTAATGTTGTTAGACGATCACCATTATCTAGTAAATACTATCCACAACCATTGAATTTATCAACAAATTCGTCATCTAGTCAACAGCAGCAACTACAACAGCATCTACCTCATGATGATATTGAATGTTCTGCGTTAACATCACCTAATCATTTAAGATATCGTCAAGCTAGATGGGCCAGTGAAATAGCATTGAATAAACGTACTAGTGGATTATTTAATATAGAACCTGGACTAGTCAATTCACTAAGTAAGTGGCGATTTTCAGTTTGATACAAGGGTTTTAGTATGTTTAGAGTTTTTCGGATGTCTTTTGTTTTGCAAAAGTGTTTAAAGATAAGTTTTATCACAAAAATAAAGCCGAATTACGCTGCATTTGAAATCACGTAACAATAGACTTGTACTTTATTCTGATATTTTCGTGTGAAGGGGTTCACAGCAATGTACATTCTGAATTTCATCGAAGAACAAACACAGGTTTGTTCCTCATTTCAAACCACTCAGCAATATAGAACTATTGTGGTGTATACTACTTATGTTGACAGATATAGTAGTATGTAACACTGATCGGTAGTTGAATGCGTGCCGGAAGAAAATTGAGAAGATCCAATTGAGTAAAAAGAAAGAGAAGTTGAAAGCAATCGCAATAACAACAAAGTTGATAGACTTATGAAGCATGTAAAGGGCAAATGAAGATGTACAAATAATATATTTTATGTATGTTTATCATATTTTACGAAAGCACTCTTTAATTTAGGATTAAACAATAAGTCGGTTATCTACTGCTGAGTTCCCATTCACTAAACTATCTTCATACCATCTTTATGGTGGATTATTGTGTTAAAATTTCAGAAACTGTGATGAGACAGCTTCTTTCAATAGTTTTCTAGTTGATATCTGTATCACTAAAACCATGCAAGTCATTCCAAAAGAAACTGATGTTTCCTGTTGATATTAAGGATAAGTTGTTTCTCTCGAAAAATCTCGAGATAACTCAAGTTAAAATAATTTCAACATCATGATAATTAAAGTGTATATCCAATGAAAAAATTCACAATTTGACCTAATTTTTCTCAGAAGTTTGTATTCTTTAGAATACGGTGCAAATATTTCTTGATAATTCAATGCATATATCTCACTAACCACAATCTCTCTTGACTTGAGATTTTGATTGAAGGTCATGTATCCACTAACAAACTTTTATGTCTTCTCATTCATAATATATTTATTTATCTATTTTATTTATTTGAGCACATAGATATTGGTACAAGGAGGCACCAAATAGATATGCGCCACACAAATCTCATTTGATTTGTGTGAGGGCTGTGATACTGTACGTGTGCCCAAACCGAAGCAGGTGGTTTTCTTAGGTAGCCACACCCGAAGCTTTCGACCTAAAGGCCTACTCCACAAGGCAGTAGAGCGTCGTAAGGAGATGCAGTCCCATGGTAGCCAGTGACCAACGATTGGTTCATTCGCCATTTGTTCCGTCAGGGTACTGGAGCCCATGTACACCGTAGGTTTGGATTCAGCGTTTTCCAACTTCCCAAGGTGGACTCTCCGTGTCCACCAACCCGGTTAAAGCACCGGACATTCGCTTTTCGTCCTCTCAATTCCGTAAACAACACCGGTGGCGTGAGAAGGCGGTGGGTAGGAATTTCCTGGCAGAGGCTATATACGCGTGGCCATGTGAGAGCATTTCGAGAGGGATAGCGGATCTCCCGACTGTTGGCCGTACCAGGGAATTCGGGGGCATTATTCATAATGTATACTTTTAATTCATTGGAAAATTTAACATAATGAATTTTAAGACTGGTAAAAGGTATCCAGTTACAGTGAGTGACGTATTGTACCGATTTATGATTTCCAAAGTATAATGAATAGTAATACCTTCATACTTTAGTTACATCAAACATGTCCATTTCTTAATTGCTTTTTCATACATCATTAAATAATCAACAATCAAATTCGTCATGTTACATATGAAAAGCACCAAATGTTGGGAAAAAGTTAGGGACGGCCAAACCAAAACATGACATCAGATCATCAAGTCATTGACTGTTGAACTGAGCCGTATAGGTAGGTCCACATTACCTGATTGAATTCCCCATGATTGTCTTAACAATGGTTAACGAGGTTGACTGACAAGCTATAGGTACATTTGATCTTTTTTCCCCTTCAAATCTTGATTTTTAAAATTAGATTATACATTCTGTCCCATGAATTCATTCTTCTCAAAACATATTGGTTGTGATTTAAGATCATATGATCTGTTCCCTAGTCAGGAGTCCGATTGTCCATTAAGTCACATATATGGTCAATAGGACCAGTGACCTTCTATTTTAGGAATTACCTAACCGTTCAATAAACTACAATCAAGGCGTTAACACGTATTAGTCCTCAACCCTTTTCTGACCCTGTGGCCATTTAGAAGACACAAATAGGAAGCATATTAGTTATCAGTTGTGCTCGATTCATTCATTGCTCAAAGTGCATACATTAATGTATTTAAAATGACTGACTACACGACACACCAAACGAGGGATTACACGTTAAGCACAATCATACCATAAGTGGTAGGGGGGCGGAGCAAACAATACATAATGAATTAGCAATAGCTCGGGTATATTAAAACGCTCAACAAAGGTTAATGGGTTTACTGAAATCTTACATTAAGAAGCATATAGAAATGAAACAATAATGTTGTCTACCAATCACACAAAAAATTATAAAAATAATAATAATCCGAAAAATGGTTCCGAATGTTCCGATTTTTCCAATATCCATCGCCGCATAACAATATTACATATGCCTAATGTTTTCTGCAGTCACTAATACCGTTACTCTTTCTACTACTCTATTATCTCGCTGTACTGAAAGTTGTGTAGCAACTTGAACAGATACACGTATGGCTGGCTAACTGAAACGTTGAGAAATGAAAATAGGTGTAAGAAAATGAAATTTCTTTCGTGCTATATAAGTACATTGTGATGTCTTTTTTGATAATATGCAAATTCATTTAGACAGTATATTCATAACCCTATAAATCTTTTTAGTGTTTTTATCAACGAAAAAGTTCGCATTTTCATTTTACTGATTTCCATATGCTACTTAATTAACACTAGACTGATGAATTATCGCTACAGATTTATCTCCATGTTCGTTTGTATTTACACCATAGTCATACATCGTTCATTGTATATTCAGCTCATTAATTTGTTGAAGATTATGGTGATCGATTACGGTTTACGGTCACTTACATATTTAGTAGTTGAATTCATGAATCGACTCATGAATTCAACCATCAAAATTACAAGATTCACAAACTCCATTCTGATCATAATTACAACTTTATCAGCATCATTTAGAACACTGTAATCAATAGGCAGAAACCCACTGTATATTTATCTTTGTATATTCATAAGGCTAAATTGAAAGAACGACTTTCACATTTTATTCGAAAATAACATTTTTACTGTATACATGTAGACAAAAGAGTGACTGTATATCATACAATCACCTTGACCTAAATTATGTGTCCAACATCCGAAGTTCAAACCATTAGTAATAAGTTAGTCAAAAATCATGTAAATCATTCTTCAGTGATGTTTGGGTATAATCGTCCATTATTACATATTGATTAAAGTATAGTAACGTCAATTGTTAGTTAAGGATCTATCGACTAGCCGTGATGATTTGTTTATTCTCGGTAGAGGTTTATGGTACAGTGTTGTATGATGCCGAACATGAGTGATTAAGACATCTTTTATTCCATATCGTTTTATTATTCAAATCACTATCGAACGAGTTTAAAACACTAACTTAAACCACACTAGAATCACGAACCGACTTAAATTAGACAAATATTGAAAACCTAGAAGCACTGAACAGCCGTTTCTCCAGAGTGGAGGACTCCCCAGCAGTGAGTATCTATGACCCCACAACCGGGAGTCGAGCCCAGAACATTCTGTTCCCGCCCACGAACCCTTAGCCTTTAGACCACTGAGCTGTAATCGAATACTGTACAAGTCTAACTTCGATCAATCCACTATATTGCTCGATCACGTTCCCATACTGACAATCGACTTAAACACTTTATTCTTATAGATCGTCTCACATTTTTCAAGATTCTTATCATGGACAGTTAATTTACTAGTATTTTAATTAATGTTATGAATTGCCTGTCTTCATTTTTAAAAGTAACATCTTTCATCTTTTATAACTATAATATGTAGTTTACATTGCTTATACTACTCATCACATGTCTAGCTTATTTTTGTTTGACTATAAATATCGACTCACGCTTAGTTAAATCGAGTTAGCTCACACGCCTTCGCCACTGCGCATCACTTCGTTTCGCTTCGCTCTCGCCGCTTCGTTTCCCTGATTGTCCGTTCAGACCAACAACTGTACGAAATATACGTATTCAAACCTCTTTTTCGTACTAGACTTATTTAATTCGGTTATTCACTAACGCGATTTAAGTCGATCATTATATACAAAGATTGACGACATGCATTTTTCGATAGCAATCATCATGCGATATAACTGGAGTCAGATATTGAGCCACCAAAATGATCATCCTGATATGCGAACGTGACGCAATTTTCGATGATAAGATCTTACTGGAGTCACAAACACAAGTGCCACACGAAAAATCTATGTAATTTATGAAATAATTGGGTAGGAAAATTATTCAACGCCATCTAGTTTTAAATTAGATTAGAAAATGTTGCTTATACATTGTCTTTAATACAACACACTAACTTATTTTTCATTTTCCAATCGTTATCTCTGTATGATTTGAACCATTTATTTCATTTTCCTATCAATTTCTACATTAACAAAACAAAGATTGAATAATGATGGTTTCTTTGGTTTAATTGTACGCTGAAAAAAAATGATTTGTTTACTTTTGTTCTGTTTAGTGATTTTATATTTAATATTTTTCTTGCAACTAGTAGTATCCTAGTAGGCAGTAGTATGTTTAATTTCTCCTTTTTATCTTTTTGGTTGGAAAATATGTAATCTTTAAATACAATGTATATAAAAAGAAGTAAATATCAGTTCTGATAAATGACTGTTATATTAAATTATTCAATATGATCAGAAGGTGTTTTGTGGAGATTCTAGTAATTTCAATAGTTGAAATCGTAAGTCAATTGAAGCTAGACCACCATGGAAAACCTGGAAGCACTGGACGGCCGTTTCGTCCTAGTATGGGACTCCATCCACGATCCCGCCCGCCACGAGATTCGAACCCAGGACCTATCAGTCTCTCGCGCGAGCGCTTAACCATTAGACCACTGAGCCGGCATCCAACTTTTACTCATTGAATTTCACTATTAATTGTGTTTAGTTTCAAATATTCAATTCATAAATTTTAATTATTTTAACTGATATACGATGAATTACCTTAGATATATTTCCAATTATACTGAGGTCATCATCAATGAAGCTTCCATTATTAAAATGGTCTCTTTATCCTAATTAGTGGGACAGGGAGGAAGAGGAGCTGCGAAATATATGAAACGTGTCACTTTTACAAACATTCTAATTACGTGAAGAGGTTCATTTTGTGAATTTATTCTTGTTAAATTTACAAGTGAACAATTTCATGTTGATTAGTCGTCATTTATTTTGGAGAGTCCACGAATTTTTCCCGAAGCCTAGGGAATTTATTGTCCAATCAGCATTGAATAAAAGCTTTTCAAAAACACGTAGTGAAATTAGAGGTTGCGTATCACGTTTTTGATTAGATTATTGCCCATACTGTATCTATAATGGCCTAGGAGACTAAGGTCAAATCTAACTCGATAAATACACTCGATTTTCTATACATATCCAATCTTGAAGTGACGCACTTACATTTTACCCCTCGTCTCCATTATTTGAAGTGCAGAATTATGTCTTTATACGGTTTTGTAAAAAGCAAACAACTGACTTTGGTTTATACTGTGAGGGTCTGAACTTAAAACCCTGGGGTTTTCCTTAATTAAACACTTTATCTGTAGTTATTTGCAGTAGGCACTGATCATCCTGAACACAATCATTTAAACTTTGTAGTTTTCTGATAGTATACTATAAAATAAAGTGTTTGGACTTATAAATGTTTATTAACACTCTGTTGTACAGTATAAATTTCAATAGAGCTGGATGTTTCTTTTTTTACGTACATACTTTTATGGATTTGTCAATGGAATGTTTGAATTTTCATCGGAATATTACCTAGCTTATATATATATATATATATATATATATATATATAATTCCCTATCTTTTGACTATGAAATTTACTTTTCATTAGTTTGACAAAAGTCCTTAAATTAAATCTGCTGAGAAATGGACTCTTAGTGGGATAGTACTAGGGTTACATTAAACTCCTCTATAAATTCTCAGAACCCATTATCAGTAGTAAAAGAAAGAAAATACTATGTAGCACTTATCCACCTCTTCAGTTGTTGATATTTCAAATAAAGAACAATCAAGGAAAGATTCGTACGAGTCTATGTCACTTATTATTATATTTATTGTATCGTTCAATACAGTCATATAGCAGTTGGTCAGTACAGAATCATGTTCATTCTAAGAAAAAAACCACTACAGAGAGAAATATCTGTATAATATATATAACGTACAGCTGAACTCATATTCATTGTAATTTAACAAATTCGGGTTTTCTTGTTTATAGTGAAATATTAACCGTCGGCGAGATTATGTGAATTTCAATAGTTCCTCGTAGATATTAAAATAAACTCTCTCTCTCTCTCTCTCTCTCTCTCTCTCTATATATATATATATATATATATATATATATATATATATATATATATATATATATATATATTAAAGGTATGCATTGGTCAATTAATTATACTTTACTCTTCCGTATTTTATTCATTCTCTTTCCTTCTTTTGAAAATTCATTTGTCATTGTGTTGTTTTTTGTTCACTAGATTAAAACCAAGCAAAAATCTCATTAATAATGGTCATTTTCATTTATTGAAAAAAAGGACTGGTTCTCTTGTTTAAAATTTAACTAAGAAATCTATCAGATTGGAATGATAATTATTCTCTTTGTTATATTACTGTTTTCCCCTTTTTGTTTAAATTACCGTTTTAAATGATCATAGTCCAGTGTTAAGACTAAATGTCATTAAAACAAATGATTTTCATTTATTGAGTTGCATGTTGTTTATATTTTGGATAGTGACTGTTAGTGGAATCTATACCTTTTAAGATTAAGAGTGAATGCATTTGCCACATTGTAACAGATTATGAGTCATATCATCTCTAACGGTTGATCAAGATAATCAGATGGACCCTAACCCAGTCGTTTGCACTTGTCAAAATATCTAAGTTCACGAGTTAATGACTTCATAGATATATCTCAAGTTTTGCTTTGACTGCCCTTCGCTTTTTTCCATACTTCTACATCACCTAAAACTGTTCATTGAGGTAGGCTGCGGCTGGGTATACATAATAATACATGTCCCAGTTACCTCATTTCATAAAGATTCGCTACTTTGTCTACCGATTTACCATCGTTTTTAGTACCCTTGGTCACTCGATGGCGCCATACATATATAAAAACAATGCATCAAAAGGATCTATGTTTGAATAGTAGTAGACTACAAATGCCCTCTATTTTTAAGAATCTCGCCTCACAGCTATAAACTAGAGCAATATGTTCATCCTTTAATTTTTGGATAAATATCCCATCTATGCCACAAGTGATACAAGAGTCAAGAGATTTTTCAGAGATCTCGTCAGACACTAACCTATCAGGACTGATAAAACTTCTAAGATAGGCGCCCAAATGCATTGATATAGATCAGTCTTAAAACTGTCTTTTTAAATTGAAAAGGAAAGGAATGAACTACACACAATCCCTTCAGCTTGTAATTTTAGACTATAGTGTCAAATCCGTCTAAGGAACCTACGTGAC